GAAGACCAGACCTCACTAAAAATGAGGTCAACAGGAGACCGTGGCAGTTTGATCACAATACTCAGCATGATGGGTTCAAGAAAACTTATTCATCAAGGATACTACAGGGCAACCACTATGAAGAGAGTTTCAGAATATTTTGACAATCAGCTTATCGTCGAGGCTGCCACAGTTAGAGGAGGTTCATCCTTTTTTCACTTCAGAGAGGAATGAGTCAACCTTGAACTACTTTTAGAGGACTCTTTGAAGTAGGCTTCGCACGAAGTTCCAATTTAGTTCAACAATGTACCCAGAGATGGTTTCTTGCACCTCGGGAAACATTCTAAAGTGTTTTGTGGGACAGTACATCCGACATTGGGATCCAGATGCTTCTAGAGATGTAGTCGAAGACCCTCCAATTCCTGAAGGTTACGGTAGCTCTATCACCTTCAACGTGACACACCTGACGTTGCATCATGAGTCAAAAGCTTCAAGAGATGAGGTCGAAGCTCATCTAATCTTAGTAGACTATCGGGGAGACTATCGGGGCTTAGCAAGACCTTAGATCGATTCGATCCAGGTTTGAGGATGTATCAGTCAACCCTCACTAAGCCTATCACCGCCCAATTGGAGTGGGACCCACTCCTAATAATATTAAATCTATTTAAGAGTTTCTTTGATGTTTATGGTTTAGTTTTTCATTTATTTGCATTTGTAGAGCCGCTGACTCCTCTTTTCCCTTTCTAGAGTTGTATCATAGGATTTCAAGTGGTGTTCTCACTGTATCTTGGTCTCCAAGTGGTGTTCGTCATTCATATACCTTTTCCCCATCCTTTCATGCATCTCTCCCACTTTTCCTTCATTATTTGTCTGTTGTCATTGCCCAAAATATGAGAAACTTGTTTTTTGTGTCCAACATGTTGTTGACGCCCAGAGACAGCATGCCTTGTTGTCCTTCCCTTCCTCCTTGCTGCTGCCACCCAGAACAACCTTCCTATGACTGTATCTGCTTGCCCCTTCCTGCTGCCACCTCGAACCACCAGCCCCACAACAATTCTGGCCCGCGTCCTTGCTACTGCAACCCTAGACAACCCTCCCAAAATGTTTTGGCTGCTTGCTTGTTATCTGGACTCCTCGAAATAATTTTTTCATGTTTCCAGCTTCCTAGCCAAGTCCTTTTCACCACATCGGTGATCCAAACCATAACCGACATCACCTACGCCTTATTCCCTAGTATTTCCCATAGTTATTTGCTTTCAGTTTGTTGTATTTTCATATTTTGGCTTTTATAAAATTATTATTGGTTGTGTTGTGTTTCTCCTCAACCTTATTTCAATACCGATTACGGTATCAGGATAGGTACAACCAACAGTTGCAATTACATGATGATTGCTCTAGACTGAACACCTGAATATCAAAAATAGAAATAGAAATAGGATGTTAGTGGTTTTACTTTCTTCTGGGACTAATAATTCGATGGGCATGGAAGGCGAGAGAAAGATAAATGATAGAATACTATAGGGAACAAGTGATAAACTAATGTCAATTGAATGAAAAATTGTCCCCCTTGGTTTCCATTGATCGTAAGACCTAGTGCAAAGTATTTAAAGTCATATAATTACCTAATAAAGGAGTCAAAAAAAGTACATAAAAATTTTTAATTTATCTTAAAAATAAGAATGGTGGGATAATTCTTATCCATTCTAGATAAGTTATTTGACAAAAAATCCATAATCTAAATGTTTGTCATAATTTTTTTATAATAGAATGTAAACATACTTAAATAAATAGGGTGGTTAGGGGAGAGATTGAGAGTTTTGTTGAGTTAATTGTCGATAGCTATCTTGATTTTCTTGGAATTTTGTTAAAACTTTTTCTCACCTATTCTTGTGATTGAAACTTCCAATCATGACTTAATTAGTGGAATTGGTTCTGAATAATCCAAAACCTTCTTGAATGATACCTGAAAAATTTTCCTTGGTGGGTTGATATGTGTTGTTAGCCTTTACTCGCTCAAAACACAAAAAAATGTACACTTTTTATCATGATAACCATTTTGCATGAAAATCATGACTAAATTTCTTATTACGGACCCATTTAGCATGATTAAAATACCAGTTACACACAATAGGCCCTGTTTCTTATTTTTAAGCTTTTTATGAAGTCCAATGACCTTGATTAGATATGGCTAAACCATATAGTTGCTTGATTACTCAATTCAGCCCCTTTTGGGCTAATTTTATTTTTTGAGGGCTTCAAAAACTAAAGCAGTAAGATGGGGCGCTGAAAGAAAGGAATATGGAATGCAAGACACTCAACTAAAAAAGCTTGACAATGAGAGGAAAATGATTAGAAACCATACATCCGAGCCAACTTTATCCATGGTTTTCTTATTGCCTTGGATTAAAAAAAAAGTTCTATATTATATTTTTTGGAAGGTTTAAGAAGATAAAAGCCGTTAAACTATCTATTTGATTCCTTTTGATGCAATTGTACTCACCTACCTACCTATATATTTGTTTTCTTATGGTATATCTAACTTGCAGTAAAGAAGAATTAACAACAACCACATCAAAATTCTCCTCCCAAAATCAAACTTCATCCTTTTCCCAATCAAATTGGGCCTTTTATACAGCGCTTAAGCATATCGATTAAGAATAAATGCTTTTATTTTCATGGATCAAAGATAAGAATAGTAAAGGATTGCCCCTCTGATAGCATTCAAAAGGTTACCACACCACAACTTTAAAGTGTAACATACAAAGAAAAGCATATCCCTCATTTGCTACCCCTCCATGGTTTCGAAAGCATGAAGAATGCACGTGAATCAACTCACCCATCTCTGCGAGAACAGTGGTAACTTCTTTTTAATTTTTAAAATGTCCAAGGATCTTCATTCAAGATACCAATGTTATGTTGTAAATTTCAAGTAGCCCCAATTGGCATGTGAAATGAATTAAATGACTCGATCCACATTCATAGGATGAAGTTTGATGTTCAATGATCCTAATAATGTGTTCTCTTCAAGCAAGCAAGTAAACAACTATTCTTAACCCCTAGCCAACTAGCTCACTAATTATAAGTTCCTCTATGCGACCAGCATTCACATGATGATGTTTAATGCTAAATGATTCACGTTTTGCTCATGTAAACAAGTAAAAAACAGTTAATACTCAGCCAGTTAGCATAATAATTGTAAGTACAACAACACCTCAACTCGTAATGGGAAGAAACAACAAAAAAATTGTTTTTTATTATTTTTTTTCTACCATAATCAAATAAGGAGGTGAGATGGGCAAGTTGAAAGCCACCGGATTAAGAAGATTACAAACCGCCAACACATAGTGATAGAGGAATGGTATGCCAAAGAAAGCCTTGAGTTGTCACTTCCTTGCAGTAAAAAAATAACTGTAATTTTTTCTTCTACAGACAAAGCAGACTCTATAAGCATGCCAACCTAGGCCAAACAAGCTATAATATCTTAATCTAAACTCAAATCTATTATTTAAAAAAGGTTTGAAATTCCATCAAATAAAAATATATCCTCTCAAATTTCTTAAGAAATGCATGCATAAGGCATACTTTGATCTTGTGCTTAAATATCAAATATGAATGTTGTGCAATGAATTTTAAAATGTTCTCTTTAAATTTGCATTTTTTTCCTCGTAAGCAAACAAAATTTATTTCTTAATGCAAACTTATCTTGTTCGATGACATGACAAGAAAAATATAATAATTCATATGCATTCTATGCACATATATTACTTTTGTAAGCATAAACATTTCAATAATCAAGTGAGTGCACTTGATTTACATGAATACTTACTAGTAATTATAAGTTCCTATGTACCTGAAATTGTAACGGGGAAAATCATCATACCATTTCCATTCAAATGAATTTCTAGATTGCAAGCATTTACATTAAATTTCATTTAAACCTGCCACATTTTCTTTTGCAATTCTTATAAATGAGAGTGGAATTTTGGGTAACATAAAGGTCAAGTTTACCACCGACTGATAAAGCACATGAGTTTACTTCACTATAGAAAAAAAGTATATTGCAGATAGAATCCTGTGTTATGGAGAGTTATCTGACCTCAGAAAGGAGCTCCATATCATCCATTGAATGGAGATCCAGAAGACCAGCTCCGAATTCACCCCTTAGCTCAGGTGAATAAAAGCCATCTGCTGCAACAGTTGAAGTTGTAGGAGTGTAAAATTCTGAGCCAGAATCACCACCGAAATTCAAATTTCTCAAAAGTTTCAAAAGCCTCTGCTTTTCCTCAGCAGATTGAGGTCCATAGCCCTGTCAATGATGTAAGAGATATAAAAAAAGTTGCACAAACTAGAAAAGCTTAATCAAGTAAGAACTGTGAGAGGCAGCAATGCTGTCAGGTTAGATTCCACAAATAAAAGGATGCAGAACTATGTAATTGATCAACGGGGCATATTCTGATAACGACCATATCCTAGAGATGACTCAATTTTCCCAATGTGGGAAATTTTTTAGAGTTATTTGGACAGACAATCCATGGCGCAGCAACATTATAAATTTAAGTGAAAAAAAAATCAGCAAGCTGACTCCAGTTCCATTCCCATTTCAAATAATCAAGCCAGAGACAGAATCACAGAAAAGATAAATGCAGAAAGAACAAACCCAGATCCAAAAACGGTTACCATCGAAAGCCAATCCCTATCCTCGATCTACAAAACAGCCGACACAAGTTCCAAGATCCAAACGCCATTCTCTTCCGACCGACACCGACAAAAAATAAAGTCATTTTAATACCTGCATGAGGAGATTCGGCAGTAATCGCTGGTCGGCAGATGCTAGCGGCGAAGCGAGGTGCTGCAGCCCGGCCGACTGCAGCCACCGTGCCATTATCGCGTCGCCTGCGTCCCCGCCCGGAACCACGCCGTGATGGTGGTCATACAGTGTCGGGGCCGCCGCCGCCGACGCTTTGCCCTGCTGCATCTGCCCGCCACCCATGTGGCGCTGTGACCTCCGCAGGGGCGCCAATTTTCCCCCAGCTTACAGCCCCTCCGCAAATAAATCCAGCTCAACTTCGCCGGCGGTCCTTTCAGGGCGAACTAACCCCGGTGAAGAGGAGGAAAAGAAGAAAAGCTGCCGGTCTGTAGGATCATTCGATTGGGTTCGAGAAGATGAGAGATGGATTGAAAGCTTGGAAGAATGAAAGTTTGGGGCCAACAAGGCGATAATTGTTGGATCAATTTAATGAAAATAAAGAAAATGGGGTCCGGTAAGAAACCCTAATTTTGGTAGGAGGGGATCTTGGAGTTACTTCCGCGCTCCAATTGATGCGAATGTTGGCATATCGATTGGAGTGGCGTATAAAATGGTGTCTGTTCGCAGATATACGCATCCATGTTTTTTTTTTTTTTGGTTGTTATGCACGTAGTAGTTATAATTTATTGTTAAAATCTAGTTAACTATCTACTTGACCAAAGTTTCAACATTTGTCAAAACGGTTACTCCAAAATATTATTTTTAGGTAGGCCGTTTTTTCATTCTCTAATAAAATATATATTTATGTTTTACTTTTAAATTTAAAAATAATCATAAAATATATTTGTTGAACTCGAGTCACACCCATAATGTAGATTGCACTTAAAGGGAAAAAAAAATAAAGATCTCTTAAGAAAAAATTGAGAGTTTGAAAGGTATTTAACGAATGAATGAGAATGAGACAATTTCCCTTTTTTTGTATAATTTCTTCTGCGTATAGAAGCTGATCTCATCCTGAAAAGACAAGTATCATTTAAAATAAAAGAATCTCGCCAAAAGTCTCGGGCATGACTTTGTACAAATTCAGCTATGTCATTCACTTATACTTGTAATGCTCGAAAGGACAACACTTTTGTGAAGTTTCATTCCCCATTCGGCCTATATCTCGAGTTCGAACCTGGTTGATTGGGTCATTTGTTCTCAGCTTTGAGTCGTTCGATCACGAATTAAATTGTCGACCGTGCAATATCAAGTGTTGGCACCCGAGCGACCGACTCCTTTGAACCGGTAACCTGACACCCATGAGGATGTCATGGTTCATATAGGATTGGGCGGCTGCATGCCTACATTGGCCTTCATGGAATAAGAGACTGAGTTGCACGCCTTAAAATGTGCTACGAGAGTAACACGCCTTAAAATGTGTTACTTTTTCATATACATTTTACGCTTATTTTTAATGATATTGCACTTTAAAAAAAGGTATTTTGCATGTCTTTGGTTCCAGGTACAGGAAATTGAGTTTTGGATAAAATGGAACAATAATTGTGCAATTTGAAGTCAAATCGAGTAAGACAAAATTTTCTGATCTAGTGCATTTTGATGTTTTTTTATGTTTAATCTCCTTTACATTTATCACATATTTTTAAATCACATATTTTTAATTTATCACATATTTTTAAATGAAATTACACTTTAAATAAATGTTATTTTCATGTTTATCTTGTAGGTAGAACACATGGAGCGGATTTGAGCTGAAACGGGGGGAAACTGAGCAAAACGGAGTTGCTATCAGCAGGGTGGCGCCTAGGCGCCAAAAACCGGCGCTTAAGTGCTAGTTTAAGTGCCATGGCACCACATTCTGGAGCCTAAGTGCCATAAACAGCCCAAAGTTGGTTTGGGTTGATTTGGACGGTTCTGGGTTATTCTAGAAGGTTTCAGACAGCTATGCACACCCCATGGAGTTATTAAATAAATATAGACACTTGGAAAGGCTCTTGAAGTGAAGAGATGTGTCTCTAAGAGTGAAAAAGTGTGTCTCTTAGAGTGAAGAGGAGTGTCTCTTGGAATGAGGAGGTATTTGGTTTTTCTTTAAAAAGGGGGTTGGCGTCTCTTTCAAGCAGGATATAAAGGAGATTTTGGTGTGCCTCTTCAAAGAGGTGTGTATGTGTGGGTGTGTCTGTGTGAGAAGATATGTAGACTTCAACCTTTTTTGGAGAGCTTGGTGAGGGATTGCTGGAGGGATTTTCATCTTTCTTTTGGAGAGAAAAAACTAAGTATTATGTTCTTTATTATTTTATAATTGTCGTAAACACTTTCTAATGTATTTACTTTGATTTAATGACGTTTTATGTTTTGTTTGATCCATACTTCATGAGTAGTTTTCATTACTCTTTTCTTTTGATATAAAGTAGTGGCAATAGTATGAAAATTTGTTTTAAGATAGAATAACTTTTATTTCTATGTGATGAGTAATATCTCTTTTACTTCATTGACATAACTTAAGTGACAACATGTTATGCTAAACTAAGACACGGGAGAGCGGTGACCCCGCAACTTTAGTGCACTCACATTGTTCGGTTGGCTATGTTGATGTAGGTTAGGCAGTAGTGCAATGATGGGGGTGGATTTAGTGTGTTAGTTTTGTAAATATTTTTTCAATATTACAAAATACACACAGCATATACAACAGTAAATATTCAAATTAATCCCATCAAAATAACTTCAATTAAAATAGTATTATCTTTTAATAATCTTTAAACTGTCAAAATCCCCTTTAAAAATAAAGCAAGTATAAATATCACTCAAATAATAAAGGGTTCTAATGAAGTCCTACATATCGACCCCACAGAGAAGTTGGAAATGCCTGTAAGTAAGTTCCTAAGATTATAATGTAAAGTACTATTTTCAAAATACAAAAAGTAAAGTGTGAAGTTTGAATATTAAGTAACAAGTGAATGTTAATTAAAATGCAGTTGAAAGACAAAGTTAATAAAACTAAAAGCTAAACTTTCAAAAGTAAAATTAAAAAAATTAAAATTAAGATGATGTGACGGAAAGTTCAAATTTAAGAAACCATCATTCACCTTTGCATCAGTATATGGTTTGTGAAGAAATTAAAATCATCTAAAAATATATATATAAATTATTTTGTGTCAGATATGAGCAATTATATTCTTTACTCTCTTTTAAGTGCATAAAGAACATTGACTAATCCTGAGTTTGGTCCTTAATTCTGTGGTTAGGCTAGGAGGATACTAGTTGCCACTCTAGAACTCCCACTACTCCTTCTCCTGAGGGCTAACAAACTTGCATCACTTTCCAATCAACTAGACCAAATTGGGGATTTTAATCTGTCACCTTAAAATCTCTGATTCTGCATCCAACAAAATATATTTCCCTTTTTATTTGCACCAAATTCCATGGATGAAATACTCTCCCATGAAATTGGATGTTATTATCCCTATGTTGTAGAAATCATAGCCCTTTCGAAACATATGTTTCTGAACACAGTTTAACATTTTAATTGTCAAGATCGAAAAGTAAATGAAGATCGGAGTTCAAATCATCACAAATTATTGACATTTAAAATCATATAAATAAAATCAATTATTTACAAAATCATATCTCAAAGTAGGAAGAAGGATAAAGAAGACTACTCAAATTCATGAAAAAGGATACGACAAAACATGGATTTCATATATAAAAATAAGTTTACAAAATAAAATAAATAAAAGACATAACTTATCTCACAATCCTTCCTAAGCAAACTCCTAGAAGTTCTCTCCAAGTGTTTCTCTCTTTACAAGCACTCTTATTTCTCTCTTAGAAGTGTAATGAAGAAGAAATCTCTCACCTTCTCTCTCCTCTTACAATCCTTAAAGAAAATCTCTAAGCCCTTGGCCTTCTCTCTTTCTATTTAACTCTCCTTTTTCACGCCACACACCTCACGTCCAAAACTCCTCTCTCATTCAAGCCCTATACTTCCTTCACTTTTTATTAAGGGTTGCCTCTCTCCAAAAAGAATTCAAAATTCCCTCCAAAAATTCGTCCAAAAGTCAACTCTTTTAAATTCAAAAAACAAGTTCATCGATCCAAGAGACATATCCCTTCATAAAAGAACCTTCCAAAGTGTCTAGATGCATTGATTTACTCCAAGAGATGTTTAGAACAAGTGTCTCTTTGAAAATTTGCGTAAAATTCATCTCAAACAGCCTTAATCCGCAAAAAGTCATTCCCGGTGCTTCTGACACCAAATCTGGCGCATCATGCGCCAGTTTGCTGAAGGTCGCGTTGTTCTGGGTTTCGGCGTATCTGGCCCCACTTCGGTGTATCTGGCGCTAATCTGGCGCATCATGTGCCAGAATTCAAAACTTCGTTGTTTTGGCTCCAAATTTCGTTCTTTTTGCTACTTTTGCTCCAAATGCCTAAAATTGATATACATGCAACAAAAACATGAAAAAACATTTTTTTAAGTGTAAAATCACCAAAAATAAGCATAAAATATATACTTAAAATAATATAATATTTTGATGTATCAAAATCCCCCAAACTTGAATGTTACTTGTCCTTAAGTGACACTTTTGCTACATAAAAGCATATGACTTAGGATAGAAACTAACTTATAATTTCTATACTTTAGTTCAATAAATAAAATAGTAAAATTTAAGAAAAAACATAATAACTTAGAAACTAACATAGCAATTAATTTTAAGATTTCTGAATCTCTATTTATTTCAAGTTTCAAGAAGAATTGTAATTTGATTTCAAGAAGAATTGTAATTTGTCATATCAAGGATGTTTAGAATATTCATATGAAAAAGAACTTCAGGAAAACTTTATTAATAATGTTACTAACAATCCAATATAAGTTTAGAAAATGTAATAAGCTTTTTCCTTAAGTTGATTCAAGTAAAACTAATTTTTTATTAGACATTTCCTCAAGCTTCTCCTCACTTATTTTTCTTTTATTTTATTTTATTTTTCTTTTCTTTTCTTTTTTTTTCTTTTAGGATTTTTTCAATCGTTTCTTTTCTTTTTTTTTTTCAAGTGAGGATTATTATATCTGGATAGCCTTTAATAGTTTTGAACTTCATCATCCTCTTTTCAAAGTCAAAACTCCTTACCTTTCTTCACTTTATAGATTCATATTAGTTTATGATTTTCATAAATTCTCATTATTTTCTTCTTACATGAATCTTTAAAATTCTTAATACTTCAAAAATACAATTTTCTTTACTTTAAATAGAAAAACTTATTCTTATCTTATAATACTAAATTTCTTTAACATTAGAATTGACCTTCATTATTAAAAAAATTTACCTGAATTTACCATAATATTCATGAACTTAAGTATAGTCATTTAAAGTTTATCCTTAATATCCCAGGTCATGTTAAATTAATTTTACTTTAAAATTTTTGAAAATATAGCTAAATGAGAACAAATAAAATTAGTTTACTTCTTTTTAAATGAAAATTTTCTTCCCCCCTCCCCCCCAAACTTAAGTTTTTAAGTATTTAAAAATGTTCTAGTACAAAATTAAGTTGGTGAAAGAAAACAGTAAATGCATGAAAGTAAAAACTAACATGTAGAGGATTTCTTACTATGAAAATGGGCGCTGGTATACTGCAGGTACAAA